TCTACAGGGGAATATAGCAGGGACAGAAACACAAATTCTGTGAAAATAGAAGAGTCAACAATATCAATCAAGGGCAGGGCTGGAACTGAGTAAACCACCCCAGCTTCCATTAAGCACCCGAGGTTTTCAGGCCTCAGTTCCCCCTGTTGGATGGTGGCAGAGTGCAGCAGCCTGGCTGAGGAGACATAGATTTCCCTGTGATGCAGGCAGGAGCAAACCACTGGAGGAGCATCTGCTCATTGGAGAGAACTGTGTCATAGCCCTGCGGAGTTACCAGTGACTGGGTGTGACAGAGATGCAAGATGGGGAAAGAGGCATCAACCTTCCCAGACTAATTCATTTGCTGGGTGAGTCCTTCTGACTCCATGGAGCACCAGAGTGAGTCACTCAAGCTGCCAGTAGATCCCTGCTATCTAGTTGCTGGGGACCTTTTGAACTCTTCCACTTGAGACTGGGTGCTGCCTGGGACAAATGATTTGGATCTCTTGAACTGGGCCAATCACTCGAGGATGATACAAAGTGGTAGCCTGGCTAGTATGGTTGTGGGAAGGTTTGATTTTTCTTTTCCAGTTGTTGCCCATGGGGGGTGGGGTGACTTAATTGCTTAATTGTGTATTTCTCCACAGCTGAGACTTCAACCCAGAGTAACTGATTCACTAGGGTAGGACAGAGAACAGCTGAAAACAAGACAGAGCCCCTTAGTCCCACCATACCAAGCAAGTCCCTCGTGTCTCAGGCCATAGCACTGTATGAGTCCTTTGCAAAGCACCAGGGGAAAAGGTACAGACACCAGTCCCAGCTCTTGGGCAAAGGGCTGGTTAATCACTACTCCAGGATGATGAAAGGCAAGTGGAAAGGAGTCCCCAACCTAACTTCACCTTATCTGCTCATCTAGCCAAACGGTGTAAAATAATCATGGGGCAGAATCAGTGGAAAAATTCTGGTAACATGAATAACCACAGTAGATCAACTACCCAAGGAGCAACATGGTGGACACGACAGAAGATTCCATTCATAAACAAATGGCTGAGATGTCAAAAATTGAATTCAGAATTTGGATCACAAATAAGATTAATAGAACAGAGGTAAAGTTGGAATTAGAAATACAAGGAGCATTTCAAAAGTTGTCTCAAGAATTCAAGGAATTCAAAGACAAAGTCACCAAAGATTTTGACACATTCAGACAAGAACTGGCAGCCCTCAAAGATCTGAGAAATACAGTAGAATCCCTCAGTAACAGAATGGAGCAGGCAGAAAAAAGGATTTCTGACATTGAAAACAAAGCTTTTGAATGCTCCCAAATGATCAAAGAGGAAGAGAAGTGGAGAGCAAAAACGTATCATTATCTCATAGAGCTCTGGAATAATTTGAAGAAAACTAATATTCGCCTTACAGGAATTCCTGAAGGTGATGAGGTTGTTACAAAAAGCACAGATGCTCTACTTCATGAGATAATGTAGGAGAACTTCCCAGACATGCCAAGAGCTTCTGAAATTCAGATAGCAGATAGTTTCAGAACCCCAGTATGACTCAACCCAATTAAGACATTTCCTAGGCACATTATAATTAACTTTGTCAAAGTTAATATGAGGGAGAAAATTCTGTAAGCAGCCAGACGTAAGAAAACCATATCCGACAAGGGGAAGAATATTAGAATGACTGCAGATCTCTCTGCCGAAATCTTTCAAGCTAGAAGAGGGTAGTCATCAACTTTTAATCTCCAAAAACAAAATAACTTTCAACCCAGGACCCTATCCAGCTAAACTGAGTTTCATTTATGATGGCGAAATTAAATACTTCATTGACATTCACATGTTGAAGAAATATGCCATAACTAAATCAGCTCTCCAGATATTCCCAGACCTATCCTCCATAATGACCAGTGCAATTCTGCACCACTAAAGGAAACTCACTCAGAAACTTTTGATCAAATTCCAACGTCCACAGTGGCAAAAGAATAAAAAATGTCCACTGGAGTTTCAAAAAACTCAATACCCAAAATTCTACCAGGCTTATCAATATTTACAATTAATGTGAATGGTTTAAATTGTCCTCTAAAGAGGCAAAGATTGGCTGACTGGATAAAAAAACTCAGGCCAGACATCTGCTACATACAAAAATCTCATCTTACCTTAAAAGATAAATATAGACTCAGGGTGAAGAGATGGTCATCTATAATATTTCAGGCAAATGGAAAGCAGAAAAAAGCAGATGTTGCAATTTTATCTGCAGCTACAATAGGCTTTGAGCCAACAAAAGTAAGGAAAGATAAGCATGGGCACTTCAGATTTGTTAAGGGCAACACTCAACATGATGCGATTTCAATTATTAACATTTGTGCACCCAACCAGAATGTGCCTCAATTTATAAGAGAGACTCTAACAGACATGAGCAACTTGATTTCCTCCAGCACCATAATAGTCAGAGATTTTAACAGTCCTTTGGCAGTGTTGGATAGATCCTCCAATAAGAAGCTAAGCAAAGAAATTTTAGACTTAAATGTAACCAACCATTCAACAACTGGATTTAACAGACATCTACAGAACATTTCATCCTAACAAAACTGAATACATATTCTTCTCATCAGTCCATGGAACATAATCCAAAATTGATCACATCTTAGGTCACAAGTCTAACCTCAGCAAATTTAAAAGAATAACCAGAATCAAGCTGAAAAATCAGTTAAGGACTCTATTGCATCTTCTTAGACCATCATGGAATAAAAGTTGAACTCAGTAACAACAGGAATCTGCATACTCATACAAAAATATGGAAAATAAATAACGTTATGCTGAATGATACAGACAAGATTAAGAAAAAAATTACCAAAGTTTTGGAACAAAATGATAATGAAGACACAAATTATCAGAACCTCTGGGATACCACACAGGCAGTCCTAAGAGGGAAATTTATAGCACTGCAAGCCTTCCTCAAGAGAATGGAAAGAGAGAGGAAGTTAACAACTTAATGGGACATCTTAAGCAACTAAAAAAGGAAGAACATTCCAATCCCAAACCCAGCAGAAGAAAAGAAATAATCAGAATTAAATGAAATTGAAAACAAAAGGATTATATAACAGATCAATAAATCAAAAAGTTGGTTTTTTGAAAAGTTCAATAAAATAGATAAACCTTTGGCTAACTTAACCAG